CCCCCCCCACCTCTCACCTCCCCAATTCCACTAAATTGAAATAATTTGGCATCAAATAGAATTTTAAAACTTAGCATGATGCTAAAAATAAAACTTTTTTAAACTATACATTTTTTCCCTCAACCCAATATTGAAAAAAACTATTTAGTCTGTGTACACTTATGCTTATTTAGAGAACACTGATAAAATGCTTTTAATAGCAATTCAGCCTCAAATTCTCGTGCATTCATTAATTCCACGCCAAATTCGGGATTATAGAATCATTTCCGGCATCACCTTACAAATATAAAGCCAAAATGGTGTACTTTTTGCAGGATGTACTTTCTGGATACTTGATGCATCAATAGAAATAGTTCTACACTGTGCTAAACTTGAATAATTTTCAAAGAAAAAAAGATAGAATTGCTTGAATACTTTGGCAACAACTGCCATTTCATTTCTCCTCTTTAAGACAAGAAATTACAGAAAGGTGGGATAAAAACTTGAGTAGACAAGCAAACTCCTTGTTGAAGAAAATGAAAAATTCATGTTTTGCCATGAACTAACTATTTTTCACGCAAAAAAAAACTTATTGGACAGACTGAGATAGCAAAAGATGTAAATTTTAAACTAAGTGTCTTCATATTGTTAGTCTAGCTCACTAACCAGTTTTTCAAACTCAGCCCATTCAGGACATGTGCTTTCAAGTGAATTTGAAAGGGCTTTTTTTAAGCACTAGATTATGGAATTATGAACAAGTCCGCAAAGCTTTGTTCTCTTGAACACAAAAACTTGAGCCCAACTGAACGCAATGTTTTTTTTTGTATTTAGGGCTTATCCCTAGTAAAGCTGCTTTTATAACCCGACGGAACGAGGGTTGAGTTGGGCTGAGAAAGATGATTAGCAATTATGGTTTATGGTACCCATATACAAGTTTGTTTATAAAAGCAATTAGGAGGGTGAGTGGAAGGCCAGGCTGCGGACAAGAGGGCGTGGAGAGGATGTCAGGACTCCATCGAAGTTTCCCATGCAACGATGGAACAATGGCGGCGGTCCAAATACTTTGTCACCTCGGAGAAAGTGAAATTTATTGGAAAAAAATTAAGTGACTTGAAAATAAAGGAACCATTTCATCACATAGTTGGCTGAAGAACCCTAGATTTTATAACTTCAAATCCTAAACGACACATTTAACAGGACAATTTGATTGAATTATTTTATTAGTAACACTATACCGAGAGATTCAGTTGTGTGATGATGCACATATTGGCGTTTGATGTTTTTGCGTAATTTTTTTTATATACGGTAGTAAAATGTAGAAGTAGTGGCTGGCATCTGTTATCTTCATCAAAATCATATCACCTCCACAGGAGATAATGTTGCGTCAACTTCGACTTTTTTCTGTATATTTTCTGCTTGTGGAAAAAACTAAATTGGTGATGCTCCATAATTTTTATTGCCATAACTAAACTTATTTATTTATTATGCAATTGGTGCTGCCCTGAAGACGCAGTAATTAAGTTATCAATTTGCGTCTTCCTGATTTATATTTGGAAACTATTTGCCATTGTGCTTAAAAATTAAAAAAATTTTCTCCTTAATCCATTGTTATCAAAATCTAATATATTGCCCATTGAATGTGTTGAACTTACTGGTCCTAAGACCCTTCAATAAAACTCGTAAGAACCATTCTAAGCTGAAAATGCCTTAAACAGTAATAATATGTGGTTGTTAGATGAGCAGATAAGACGTACATCAAGAAAGGTATTAACCTCCTGCAATCTACGAACACCATGGATATGAGTTTGTGGTGTGGAATGAGGAGTCAGTTATCAAAAAAGCTTAGTTGTTGCGATTAAACCTCCACCGAGTAAACAAAGAATTCATGATTTTGGTACACTTTCTATTGCCAATCTCATAGGAGAAATCGCTTCTATTAATGAGCAAATTTCATTGTTCACGTGTCAATATACTTAATTACTCTCGATGTACCAAAAAATAAGATCTCTCATCCCCAAAATACTATAATTTGTGCTAGATACAATAATCAATTACGTGGACATCCTCATGATCAGCAAGAATACGATTTCGTCAAAATAGTGATCCAAACCTAATTTCCTTTTACCCAATTTATACGCTTTTCTAGCTATAAAGTAGCACTTTTAATTGATGGGTATAGGTAGCTAAACATAGTTCATAGTGTATTGATATTGATTAATTTCTTACCTCTATTAATTTGCAGATATTTTTCCTTGGGAAACAGTTTTTTTTTGCAAATTAAGATCAATTACCGTGATTAATGAATCCCACGGCTTTACCTAGCTTTGCTTAAGATACCCTCTTTATAACACCTCATACATACTAGTAAAAAGACAACAGTCATGTCACCTTGTCCAATTAAATTTATTTGTGTATTTCCTGCAGTAAATATAATTGCGCAATTCACATATGTTCTTAGAAGAATTTGTAGAGTTGTTTCGCACATAAAAGCTCTATTTGTTGTGGGAGGGCAAAAAGATGCGTAGTTTACAAAATTTTGGTGTAATTTACCGCCTTGCAGTGTTTACTTGCACCAATTTTAATTAACTTTTGTTTTGTTTTGTTCTTACTTTGAATGCAAAACAGGCTGCCTTCAAGTGATAGTAGTGCCGACGACACCACAACACCTAATGGAAATGACTTGGGAGATGCGAATGGTCAAAGTCGAGTGTACCATCACAAAGTTAAAATTGCAGGACGATCTCAGTCACCTTCTACGAGCAATAATGAAGATTCATATGGTAGTTTGGATACACGATATGCTTCTGGGCCTTCTAGAGATTTTTTTGGAACTCGAGCACTTCAGGGATTGTCTCCCAGTCGTTGTAAGTCGATATTTTTAGCAGAAAGACTTATACATAATAAATTGTGTCGATACTTTTCTTTATATTTAGTGTTTTAGATCCATAATGAAAAATTGTATCTTAGAAATAATGACGATCAGATTGCTGGCTAATTTTGGCTGTTGACCAACACTTTATCAAAAACAGAAATAGGTTATTTTTGGCTTTTCATGTGATTGAATAACCCAAATATGAACCAAGTAAAGAAATTTGGTTTTATGCAAATTTTACTCGGCTTCACTGCTACCGGAAGTGTTTTGTCTTCTTAGTGACTATAAGCAAACGATCATCATTTCCTACAGCATGCATTTCCGTTAAACCCAAATTCCCGGTACGATTGAAGTAGAAATAATAAAACAAATTGCAATAACAATATTTTTTCCCCAAAAATCCAATAAAACCTAATCAGACCGCATATTTCATGAGATTGCATCATCATCATCATCTTGATCTCCCCGCGTCGTCATTTGAGAAAGTTTTAATCATCCCTCACCATTTTAATTCTACTTGAATTGTCTTGGTACAATGCGTATTTTCACTTTTATTGAAATGATCAGCATGCTTAATGGTTCTAGAAAAAAATATTTAATTTGTACAAATAATTTTATGTGCAATCAATATAAAATAACTTGACAAAAAAATTGATAGAGGGAATTCAATTTCACTTGCGATGCGAAATTGTGAAAAATTCAAGCTAGGGATCTGAGAAATCATAAGATTGTTCCTGTTTCATTGGCCATTTAAAAGTACACACAGCAGGAACTGACCTGAAACATCACTGTTTCCTCATACGTGCACGTGGTGCACCCTGGGCAACGTATACTCATACGCCTAAAAAGTCTATTTACTGGCAGTTGACTTCTGACTTCAAACTACCATGACCCCACTGTATGTCATATTC